TTGCCTCACCTGGGCCCTGCCCTCAGGGAAGTGCCCTCGACAGCGGCGTGCCCTGGAGCGGGGGCTGATGGAGGAGGAGGGCTACAGGATGAAGTTCGCCTGCTACTACCCCCGCGTGGACTACGGTCAGTCCCCTGTCCTCGGGGCCTGGCCGGGGGGCGCCCGCAGGCAGCCCGGAGCTCACCTTCCTCCCGTCCGAACTCCCTCACAGGCTTCCAGGTTAAGGTTCTCCGAGAAGATTCCAGAGCTGCCTTCCGCCTCTTCGAGACGAGTGTCATCCAAGTGCTGCACTTCTGTACGAGGGCCGGCGGCCGGGCTGGAGGGAGCTGCGGTCGGGCCTGGCGCCTGGAACAGTGAACATTCCGGGGCGGCTGAGCTCACACCCCTCGGCCTCTCAGGAGCTCGGGGCTTGTCGCGGGACGGCAGCGCCTGCGGGGAGTGGCGGGCTCAGCGGAGGGTGTGCCAGGCCTGGCCGTGTCCCGTCCCCTCTGACAGCTCTTGTCCCGTCCCCCTCAGCCAAGGATTCCCAGGCCGCTGCTGGTCAGACCCGGAACTTTCTGGTTCGAGCCTCTTGCCGCCTTCGCTTGGAACCCGGGAAAGAATATTTGATCATGGGTCTGGACGGGACCACCCACGACCTCAAGGGACAGTGAGTTCGCTGGGCCCTGGGTCTCTTGCTGCCCTCACACCTCCTGAGGGCGAGGATCCCCAGCACGAGGCCCTGCTCCTCAGGTGCCAGGTGCCAGGTGCTGTGGGCTCGCTCCCGTCTGCCCGTCCGGAACTCGCTGACGGCCCTTTGCTCCCACAGACCCCAGTACCTGCTGGACTCGAACAGCTGGATCGAGGAGATGCCTTCTGAGCGCTTGTGCCGGAGCACCCGCCAGCGGGCAGCCTGCGCCCAGCTCCGCGCCTTCCTGCAGGAGTACGGCACTCAGGGCTGCCAGGTGTAGGGCTGCCCCCCCCCCCCACCCCGGGAGGGGCCCAGGGCTGGGCCCGAGACTCAATAAAGACCTTACACAGCCAAGCGTCCGTGTGTGTGTCTCAGCCCTGTGCCTTCTAGGTCCTGGCCGGGCCAGGGTTTGCGTAATCTCGGGCTGTCGGAGCCTGGTGGCCCTCCCAGGTGACTCACCAGGAGCTCAGGCCCTCATCAGACCACCAAGCAGGCTTGTGACCCGCAGCCTTCGCCCGTGGACCCGGCCTCCACACCACGGCCAGCCTTCACCGTGCCACAGGCCCTCCACTGCCGGGGGTGGCCAGTCTCGCCGACTGTCCCGGCACAGTTGGCCCGTTGGGCTGTTTTCACGGCGACCTGGTCTGTGGAGAGCCTTGTGATGGTGGCATTGGGAGCACCGGGGTCTCTTCCGGGACTGACCTTAGCCAAGCCCAAGGCTGCCTTTGTGTTTGCTGACACTCTTCTACTGGGGCCAGCCCTCCCCACCGGCCCACCTCGCTCCCTGCATTTGGGGGCGCCCTTGGGTCTGAAGGGCTGACCTAGAAATCCATCGAGAGGTTTGCTGACATCACAGCCTGCCATTCAGTCGACAGAAACGGGCGGGCCTCTCTCCAAGCCCCGCGTGCCAGGCCCCGTCCTCTGAGGGGTGCTGCTGGGGCGTGTGGTCCTGTGGGCACTGGTGGGGCATCTGACCTAGCCTGGGAGAGGGGCGGGAGGGCTGCCGGAGGAGGTGACATCGAAGCTGGGCTCTGAAGGCTGAGGACTTGGGAAGAGAGCGAGGCTAGATGAGGGGGTTTGAGGCAGGAGAAGGAATGAAAGGCCAGGCAGGACAGCAGGGCAGGGCCCGGCGTGTGATGCATCAGGTTGGAATTTGGATTTGGTGGGCGGTGGAAGAGATGGGGCTGTTTACAAGCACGCCCGCTCTCTGGGTCACCCCCCCCCCCGGCCCGATTCCGTGCGACCTGAAGCCCCGGCCCCCCAGCACTGCAGAGGCTGCCTAGGCTGTGGTGTGTGCCCTGTGCTTGCCCATCAGGCCTTGCTTCCCTCAGCCGTCACCATGCTGACAGCTATGCCCGTGGGTGCCAGCCGGGGCCCAGCTGCAGCTGTGGTCCCATTTGCTGCCCACCCCACAGCCCCGGCCCGTGTCTCCCACCGGCTCTGCCACCGGGACCTGAGTTAATTCTCCACGCCAGTGGGTGGGACAGCTGGGACCTCAACCCAGGCGCTCCAGCACACAGGGCTGAGGAATTAGGGGATGGCGTGGGCCTCGGGTCACCTCTAACCTTTAACCCCAGGAGGCCTAACCTCTCCCTGAGCCATGCCCTCCTCTCCCCAAGACCCTCCTCTGAGCCCCTCACCGACACCTCATCCCTAAAATTGTTCCCTGATAGTCCTACTTGGTCCAGTGGGATCCTCTTACGGCTCCTGCTCCCGGGATGGGGCTGGACCCGGACCCCAGCTGTGGCTATTGGGCCCCTTCCTGGGGACTTTGGGGGCACGGGGGGTACATTGAGTTGTGCTGGGAAGCCCAGTGCCCTTGGCTGGACCTTAACCTGTGGACTCTGACCCCAAAGGCAGTCCTGTTTGGCCGGCCCAGGAGCAGGTGCCGCGGGCTGCAGAGCAGGAGGACGAGGGGGCCGCCCCAGGGCCTCGCTCTCCCTGCCCCCGGCTCCTGACCTCAGGGCCTGAGATACCCTGGAATTTATAAAGCAGTTTCTATTTTTGGCTTAAATTCCGCAAGTTGGTCTCTTTCTTGCAACCAAAAAGCATCAGGCACATGGTAAGAGCTCCAAATTGGGGACCATACAGTTCTTCATCTTCAGCTGTTGAGAGTGAAATGGGGCGATGATGACAATCACACGGGACTCCAGGTCTAACGTCCCGCCTGTGCATCGGGAGAGCCGCACACAGACCCCCAGCTCATCTTGTTTCAGAGGGTCCTGGGGCCCGTGAGGCGGGGGCACCCTTCCCGGGAGACAGACTGCAGCATCGGCAGAGGGAGCGGGCGGGGCCGGTGTGGCCGGAGGCTGCTGCTGCCTGTGCAAGGTCAGGGTCGCGCTCTCCTTCCGTTCTTGATGGATCACAGGGGGAAGGCCGGTTCTTTGAAATATGGGCTCCCCAAGGCCAACGGGCCTGCTGCCCTCCCAAGAATGTGCCATCCTGTGGGCGGGCCGGAGGCCGGGGCGAGGCAAGGAGTCAAGGGCCCCAGAGCAGCCCGGGCAGCAAGATGTATGGTGGGGCCCCCAGAGCTATAAGTGCCAGGCCGGGCCGGCCGGGCCTCCAGCCCAGCTGCTCCTTTTTTCCCGCCTGCTCTGGGGCCAGTGGCAGCGCAGGAGCCTCCACCTCCCACCTCTTGCCCCTGGCTTCCTGCACCTGCTGCAGCCCAATCTCCCCATCCACCTGCTGGGCCTGGCTCAGACCCTCGGGCCTGTGTACAGGCTCCGCCTCGGGCTGCAAGGTGAGCGCCCCCCCCACCCATGCCCGCCTGCCTGCCGGCTCCAGGGGCAGGTGACGCCCTGCTGACATCGCGTTGCGCTCCCCAGATGTGGTGGTGCTGAACTCCAAGAGGACCATTGAGGAGGCCATGGTCAAGAAGTGGGTGGACTTTGCCGGCCGACCCCAGATACCGTCCTGTAAGGGGTGGGAGAAGCGGGCTGGGGCCGGCGGGGAAGGTGGGCGTGCTTCCTGGCCCCCTGACCCCACCCCCACTCGCAGACCAGCTGGTGTCCCGGCACAACCAGGACCTCTCCCTGGGGGACTACTCCCCGCTCTGGAAGGCGCACAAGAAGCTCACGCGCTCCGCCCTGCTGCTGGGCATGCGCGGCCCCATGGAGCCCCTGGTGGAGCGGCTGACCC